ATTAATAGGAAATTTATTACACAAAAAAAAATTTTTACAGCCTATACCACTTGTGCTACAGTGTATATTACACTAGTGCGGATGTATATAACACGCAAAAAGTCTTAAGACCTTTTTACAATACCATTCGATTCAAAATCATAATCTAAACTGATTGAAGCTTGTCTATCCATCTGTCCGTCTGATGCCTGTCTATGTATATTTGTGTTGAAGCTACGGGTCGCAATTTTTGACACGTAAAAGGCCTTAAGAGAGACTCACTTTTTATTATACCGATCGAATCATTTTCTTAATCGACCTAAGCTTATCAGAACGTCTGCCCCGTTGCTGTCTGCCTAGTAAATTCTGTATTCGATCTATAGGCTGCAATTTTTGAGATATTTTGATGGAATTTGGTGCACAGACGTTGATCCAAAGACGACCGCTTGCTTGATCGAAACAAACAAAATTTAAAAGAAAAAAAAAAAAAAAAAATTTGTGTTGGTATGGCACAGAAACGTTACCGCATGCACCCACGTTGAAAGCTAAATATAAAAACGTTATAAAATATGTCATAAAAAAGTGTGTGATTTTTTATTTGCTTATGAGCCGCCGCCAAGAAATGGTGAATTGAGACCACCTCGTGTCTCTGGTAGGATTAATCAATAATCGATAATTTGTAATGATAGTGGCCAAATGGATGAATTTATGGGTGCTAGCAGGTTAATGCTATCAAATATAAATATTATTATTAAGCGCATTTCAGTTATAGGAAAGCGTGGGGCATACATTAAGGAAGCTAACGCATCAACATCTCTCTCCACACTGAGTAAGACGGCTGCAGCAGTATAAAATATTCATTACGAGATATCACCAAGTTATGTAACATATACATATACATATGATTTAAAACATGTACAATAAACGATGCATATGGGTTGAATCGATCTTTCCTCTCTGTATTCATAAATATAGCTCTCTCTATCTTCCAATTATAATGATTTTAGTTCTCTGACATATTTCAAACTTCACTCTCTTTCTCTTATCGTTTTTGTGTTCGTTTTTATTATTGCAAAGGTTTCCTTGCAAAATTAATTTATAGTAAAATTTGAAGCGCACATTGATGAAATATCATTTAATCAAATCTCAGTGAACTCTACCTATATATATACCGCAGTAAATTTCATTTACAGTTATTTCAAAATGTTTTGCATTTCATAATTTAAACGCATCCACTCATCACTTTATTTTGCACTGCATACTGACCACATGTGATATTACAAAATTACCGTTAACAATGTATCATACATATGCATAAGCGTGTATAAGTGAGCAAAAGCCTTGGATTTTTTTAATAGAAAATATAAAAATGGTAAAAATAAAAAGTAAAAGAAAAAAATATTCCACTGGTTAACAGTTGTTTAAATGATTTTTGGTTATTTGGATCAAGCAAACGATGTCACGAATGTCGTACGTGTTTGCTCCTCATAACCTATTGTTAATGTATATTACAAACTGCAAAGATGATATTTTTGTATATAGCCAACCGGCAAGCCAAGCAAAAACATTATATTTTTATAAGTTTTACAATTTTTTAAAACATAATTAAAAGAAAGGAAATTTTGCACCATTAATGCGTATCGCAGCCAGATTGATCTTATCTAATTGCGATATTGATATGCTTAATATCATCAGTTGTTTTTAATTCTCAAAAAAGAAAGTGGCAAGAAATCACTTAACCCAAGTGTGAGATACTTAGCTCCTTTCTATAGATCAAATGCGATTTGAACAACTTCATAAGCAAAACAAAACCTTATGCTGCTTATGCACTCCGACTGGGCCGCCTTTAAACATCCTGCACCACGTTATCCAGCACTATTCTTACTTTTGCATTTACTTACTATTATGGATCAATTTTCAGCACCGCATATCAACACTTAGATCTTTCTGTCCTACAAACGATCAAATTTGGTGGAAGTCTTTGTTAGAGTAGGATTCAAAAAATGTTATAATTAATTTTTGATCTTCAATTACTTCTGTGATTTCATTTCCATCATGAAGCATTGAAAATTATAACTTTTTGTCAGTTTTCATTACATGAAAGGTGGTTCAAAAAATTGTTCCAGCCGGTCCAAAATTTTCACATCAATTTAGAATGCCGAAATACTACTACTTAGCCACTTTTGCCGACAAATTTTGAAAATGCCAATATTTTTCCATATAACGACTTTTGAAAATAGGCCCTTATATGAGGGGTGCTCGAAGAAGTGAACCGATCCCACCCATTTTTAATAACGTTAGTCCTTGTGCCAAATGACATCGAAGTATCTCGAAAATTGCGACCTGTAGCTTGAACACAAAAAAAATGGACAAACGGACAGACGGACAGATAGCCTCGATTAAGAAAATGATCTTAAACTGGCGGGTATAATAAAAGGTTGGTTTATCTTAAGCCCTTCTTGTTGTTACATACGTCCGCACAAACTTAATGTACCACAAATGGTGTGTAGCATGATAAAATGTAATAAGAAACTTGTTCACATCAAGTAAAAAATTCAACTGCAATAAGTAAAAATTCAATCACAATACTCTTACTAACAACTATCAAACTATATATTATTGAAAAGCAAACAATTTAACTATTAGTGAAGATTGCATGTTTAAATCTGTTGATTAGTAAACTTTCAGTTAAAATTTATGTACTAAAAGTGGCTCTTAAAACGCCTCTTACGTAGTTTTATGTGTTAGAGACGAACAATCAATTAAATATTTGCGCGTTTTCAACCACAAATACACGAACTTTTCTTTAAAAATGCAGCAACAATCCTTGCGACCATTGCAAGAGAAGGATTGTCTGCTTTTCAAACTCTCTACCTATACAATAAACGTTGAATAAATTTTTAAATTCGCTTGCAAAGCCCAAAAGTAAATTTCGATTTTCCTCATATAGTTTACATAAGTGCTTACGTCACATCACGGAACATCTGTTGGGCCATTGATGTCTATTGAAATTCATAGAAGACAAATTGACATGCAAAGTTGAAACTTGTCGCACAGCTGCCACTGAAAAGCTCATATTCACCATCAAATTGGTTGCAAAAATTTCATTCAATAATGATATTAGAGTGCATATAAAATGTCTAGGACATAACTCATAGTTAACTGCACAGCATGATAAATATTTGATAAATATATATATATATATATATATAACAAGACAGTCTAATTATTTATGCTTGCTTTTGCAGTTATTCTATTGAATCGACGTAAAACCTATACGAAGAAGAACATACAGCAGGGCCATATTCCAAAATAGACATCTGTTCAGTAACATATGGATCGGGGAGCTCTTTCGATCATCTTTTGATAAAGCGTAGTCCTCCCTTTATTGATGGCGAGCTCAATATTGACAGGTAGTCTTTGGTAAACGCCATCCTCAAGTTAATGAAGGGCTCTATAATATATGACATAATAACTTATGTCATATTTCTTTGAATTAAATGAGCACCACGCACCCAATTTAAATTAACCCGTGTGTCATCGGACACCGTGAAATTAAACCGACAACGTAGTGTACCTACGTTAAACCATCAAAGATATCTGTGTCTATGTACTTTGGAGTGATAAACTATGGTCATGACTGGCGAAGAAGAGTTTAAGGCTTGGACTGTCTATAACTTGGCGACAAGTTTTCTGAAAGAGAGCTTAGGGGTGCACTGGAAGAAGCACTCTTTTCTCATAGACTATTGGTAAGAAGGAAATACTATATAACCAGCTGGGAGCCGGTTACGTAAACTACGTTATAGTAATAGTCGAGAGGATTGTACCGCCCACCATATCAGATGTAATGTATGTTAAAAAAGTGTAGTACGGTGCTGGCTAACCGGGATTGTACGGTTAATCCGAAGGTAAGAGTGACTATGTCGCGTAAAGCAAGGCTAAAGGCTTTATAGTTTAACTTTAAGCTTCCCGGAGGCCAGGAGCCCAGTCCTGCGGATAGAGGTGACGGCATTGGTGTACTGCAGATTAGTGCTTGCCAAGATCCTTCGGGGGAAGCTCGAATACTCACATATATACAGGTGGAAGCTAGTATATCCAATCCTCGGTTTGAGCGCAGCAGTTTACCAATGTGCGAGTCCTGACTGCAAGGTACGGCACTTCGGGGGTATCGTGGTGGTTATGGTTTCTATCATTCCTAAAGCGAATGATAGGCCTCAACATTCCCCAGATCCCCAGGTCTCTCGAGTGTAGTTTAGACCCCTAGCTTACAGGGATTCTCTAATTCTCTGGAGGGCGCCGGATACGCAAACTTAACCCGTGTGTCATCGAGCACCGTGGGTTTAAACCTTCATGGTAGTGTACCCACGTTAAACCCTCAGAGTCATCTGTGTCTATGTATGCTCTTTAAGAGATGATCCGCTTTATATTACGTGCATTTGAATGATTTCGCAAAAAAACTTTCAATTATTTATTAATTTTAGGGTATAAAAGATTCCTTTTTCCGCTCGGAAAGAACGTGTATTAATTAACTCCTTGTATGAATTATTAATAATGAATTTTTAACGTAATACGAAAAAGAGAATTTGGTAGTATAACAGTGCGACATGAATATTAGAATTCCTTTTAAAATCAATCAACAAATCGCTTCTAAGATCGAAAGGATTTTTCTCTTTTATTCTTACTCTTAACGTTACTCTCTCGGCTCTTAAGCGTATATGGTAAAATTTTTGACTGGAAACCGTTTCTTTTATTATGCCTATAAAGTTGATATGTGACGATGGGGCTTTTGTTGCTGTTGTTGGAGTTTTTGCTCAGCTGCTTGCTTGTTTACAAGAGCATTACTACAATGGTTAATTGCAATAGTGAGACTTTTTAAGTTTTAAATTTTAGTTTTTTTTTTTTGTTTTTTTTTTTCAAGTGTGCTCTTCAGTTTGAACAAAAATCTGACTCTGGTAGTAGCTGTGTTATGTATTGGTTTCCATTACATATTTAGCTTTACTTACTGTTTGTGTTAAGTTGATGTTTTGTTGTGCGGTAATGTAGATGATCATGATGATCGCAATGATGATCTTACCCAAAATATAAATAGATCCGCATATGAAATATTTTTGTCAGTTATATTAGAAGACCTCAACGGAGGCAATCATTACAGTGGTGCTAAGTATTTAACGCCTCAGTTAACGCGTCCATACGCGGGGATTCATAAATATGAGATCCCTACATTTAATGGTGGGTTCAATCGAGTATTTACCAAAAAAAAAAAAAAAAAAAAAAATTTAAATAAATTAATAAAATAAAAAATGTAATATAAATAAAATAAATAGCTACTTAGAGAAAATAAAAAAAAAGTTATATAATAAATTAAAATGATAAAAAATTTGTTGGCTACCGAACCGAACGGTGCAAATATATTAATCGCCCCATCTGCAAAACAAAGAACTACGCATCAGATACCTCTCGAGAGAGGGGTATCTTTTCCCACTGAGATGATTTGTTCATAAGAGTACCCTTCCGTCTCTTAATCAAGGATTCATGTAAAAATCTTCAACTTGCCCTGGTTACATAAATTAAGTTTAAATAAGTTCTTCGCTCGCTTATAACAAATTAAGACAATAAATGCCGACAATTTTAAAATGTTTTAATTAATAAGCCTATGACCCAGAGAGGCATCGACATTAAGCGTAAATTTAGTTCAAATATTTTTCGGCCCAATCTCGAAATTCTAGAACAAAAGTGCTTCGTAAGATTTTAAAATTCTGAGACGAAAAAAATTATTGCATACATCACTTGCGGTAATGATGGACCAAATTGCCGACATTGTTGCAAATTTATGCAATACCCGAAATGGTTCACGACAGTGTTTTCCTGCTCGCTATTTTTGAGATAGTTTGATGAAGTGTGGTATATTGATCTATTTTGGCCCAGACATGTAGCGCGTTTGAAAACGGATTACATCGAAGCATTTTTACCATCAGTTTCGGTACAGGGCATGATTTTGACAAAGTCTTTTACGAAAAAAGAAAAAAAAATTTATTTTCATATCTCTCGACAAAAATTGGTGTAAATAAATAAAAACGTTATATTTGGATCAAAGGGACTATTGGATATCTTACAGTCCTTTGTCTACTAGTATTTATACCTTTACGATACCAGCTTTCGACTCGATCGACTCAGAATCGTGTCCATGTAAATTTGTGTTCAAGCTACAGGTCGAAAATTTTTGACGTATTTTGATGAAATTTGATTCATTTTTCCCATTTTTTACCCAAGGACAAACACTACTTTTTCGCCTACTGCCGAAATGACCTCCTGTTCTGAAAAGTCATTGGGTGGAAAAAAATTTTAATTCTCAAAATTTCTCGGCAAAAGTGGCCTAGTATTAGTATTACGGCATTCTAAGTTGGTATGGAAACTTTGGACCGGCTGGGCCATTTTTTTAAACCCGTTCTCATATAACGAAAAAGTATAATTTTCAATGCTTCATGATGAAAATTATGTCATAATAGTAATTTAAAATAAAAAAATGAACTGTGTCAAATTTGGACCGTCTCGATCTGTTGTTTCGATCCTAACCCAAAAAAGATTTTCACGCAAGTTGATGTTTTGTAGGGCAGAAAAGCCTAAGTTTTAATATGTGGTGATGAAAATTGACCCATAATAGTAGTTTCACACAAAACTTAACTCTACAAAATTTACACCATCTACGCCTGTTTTTGGATAGGTTGCGTTTTGGGCCCGCGTCCCTATAAGTATGCCTCTTGAAAAATATGCCTTTAGTTAGAAACAAGATATAATTTCGTTAGACATCGTGGTGTAGGGTATTTAAATGTCGGCCTTGCCCGTGTGCTTACTTGTTTTTATGTGTCTTCATCGTAAAATATTGAAAAATTACAACTTCTTGCTATAAAAAGGTTTACTTTCCTTGTCAACCTTTGACTAAAGTTATAACAGTAAATTTTTAATTATAATATTTTCATATTTTTATTACCAATACTAACAAGTAAGAAAATTATATTCTGGCGGGACCGAATCTTTTATACCCATCCCCATTATCGTAGAAAAGACAAAAGATGTAAAAGAACACAATTTTCATCCTTTATACGATGAAGTGGGCGCAGCTGATTTTTTCTGTTTTCAAAATAAAAGTTTTTATCGTATAAGCATGTGAGAGATGGAGGCGTACTTTTTGAAAAGCGTAGGTCACAGGAAAACTCTTTCGCAAATTTCTAATGATGCCTTCATTTTTGCGAACGGGAGAATGTTTTCGACAAATGCTACACAGTTGATAGATGGATAGACGAGCAGACAGACATGCTAAGGTGCATTGTGAATTTAAAACTGGCCAAGAATTTATGTACTTAACGGGGTTTTCGACGATTGCTTCTATGCGTTGCAAAGGTTTAGAAAACAAAATTTAAGTATGACACACTATAAAATTTAAATGGCGTGAGCGATTTTTTCCAGTTACTACGGCGCATCTCCAACAGAATATGTGTTCAAATTTTTGTACATTCATCTGCTATAGTTTATGAGTAACGAGTAAAAAAAACAATTTTTGATTATTTTTGAAAAAGGTTCAAAGGTTTACATTGCGCTGTGGGCGTGTCCTTCAGCCGTTTTGGCCGATTTTCAATACCAATTTGCAATATTTCTGCGGAATTTAAAGTCGATAGCTTCGTTTCCGCGGCCAGAAGAATGTTTACAAGAGACGTTACACAGACGGACATGTTTAATTTGAGTTAGAATGTATTGCTGATTGAGAATATGTATACTTTATGGGATCTCTAATGCTTCCTTCTGGGCGTTTGACAAAATCCTTTGGCGATGGATATAAAAATTAAACTTTGCTGCCATTATTTTTTGACCCATTTTTACTAAAAGCGGTAAGAATAATAGGCTTCTTCAAAACATAGCATTCCCGAGACTTATTGAGTGATATGTTAACGGTGCAATGATAAATAGGAAATTTTAAGAACCTAGAAACCAGGTTGTTGCTGGCGTTATTTTGCAACCACAAAATAAGCATTTAGCTCCGTTCATCCATTTACGCCTGAAAAGGTCTATTTATCTCATAAATGCGATGTTATTTATTAAGAATTTCCTCTGCCAGGAATTTCCAGTGATTCCTGCCCGATTTTTTCAGTTTTCAGTAGAAACAGTTGTGCTTTAGTTTTTTTCGTTCCTCAATTGTTTTCAAGACGCAGGCTATTTATTGCTAAAACAGAAGTATATTTTCGGACATATACTATTTTCTCTTTGTTAGGCAATCCTTTAATAATTAACCACTCGGAGAGTCGTTTATTTATTGCCTGAGTATCATAAGGAATGTAGTTTTAAAATAAAATATGAAATTAATGAGAATTAAAAAACTCATTTAAGATATTAGTGCACTTGTAGTGGAATGAGTGACTTAGTAGTGCTTATGTTCACTTAGCAAAATGTATTCAATTTTTTATTAAATAAAGTCATGTGCAAAGCAAAGCAATATTTAACTTGCAGCAAGTCAAAACATACATAGTAAAGCATGATCCACTATTAAGTACCTTACATCATCCTGCAGTTACCCATATAAGGCGTTATATGAAGGCGACTGATCAAAAACGTGATCCGATTCGAAACATTTGCCTTTAAGCGAAAACATGTCATTGTATCAAATATCCTCAAAATATCTCAAAAATTGTCGCCTGTAAGCTGAACACAAAAAAAATAAGACAGACAAAGGGACAGATGGACAGACAAGCTTAGATCGATTCAAAAAAACGATCGATGAGCTCTCTCTCAAATTCTTCTTAGTATACTCTTGTATCATTGTAATTGAAACAATATTTTCCTTTAGCTATTTGCAATTTTCTCTCTTTAATTCGCCGTCTGTTTGGAAATTAAGAAGAAGAAGGCACATTATAGAAACAATGAATAATTGTAGAATCACTAAAGAGCGGATAAGAAACGATTTTACTAAATCGAACAAGTCTTAACCCGACTTTATATCCGCCTGAGTGGCCGAGTAGGCAAGATCCTCGACGAGCAATTCATTGGTCGTGGGTTCAAATTTCAAGTTCGGTTGAATTTTTAATAAAGCCTAAAGCCTTAGATACTAGTGCTTTAAGACTAAAGTCCTTAGAATTTATTCTAAATTTATAATAATAATAATAACACCGATCTAATACAGGTTATGAAAATCAAAGTATTGCAATGGAACTTGAATTTTTTTTTTCTCATCCAAACCATGACATAGACTTATATTGTAATGGTTACAAACTTTTCCATTTTCTTTTACATCACGTGTTATAATACGACCGATGTTAATATTCCTAGCAATCGATGTTATTAGCAATCACAGCATCACTCTTTCTTACCCTGCTTTGACGAAGCGTTGATTTGCAACTTCTTGCCTTGAGTGCGAAACAACATTTCTAAGCCAATAATCTTTCAACAAACACAGCCTTATATGAGATATAAATAATATTTTTGGGCGGATAAAAAAAAATATATATATTTCACAAGAAAAGATATTAAAAAAGTTGTTTGAACAAATATTTGAAAAAATGTTAAAAAAAATTATAGAACATACGTAGAAGAATTTATAAATGATAAAATAAAAGACTTTAATAAAAAT